ATTATTGCTTCTGAGCTTATTCTAAATTCCAATCTCATTAGCTATTTCTTTATGCATTTTTTGGATGCTTTTATATATTCCCTATGTATTTTTTATATCTATTTTTATACATTCATTGGACACTATTAATAACATTCTAATATACTTAAAGGGACACTATAGTCACCTGAACAACTTTAGCTTAATAAAGCAATTTTGGTGTATAGAACATGCCCCTGCAGCCTCACTGCTCAATCCTCTGCCATTTAGGAGCTAAATCCCTTTGTTTATGAACCCTAGTCACACCTCCCTGCATGGGACTTGCACAGCCTTCCATAAACACTTCCTGTAAAGAGAGCCCTATTTAGGCTCTCTTTATTGCAAGTTCTGTTTAATTAAGATTTTCTTATCCCCTGCTATGTTAATAGCTTGCAAGACCCTGCAAGAGCCTCCTGTATGTAATTAAAGTTCAATTTAGAGATTGAGATACAATTATTTAAGGTAAATTACATCTGTTTGAAAGTGAAACCAGTTATTTTTTTCATGCAGGCTCTGTCAATCATAGCCAGGGGAGGTGTGGCTAGGGCTGCATAAACAAAGTGATTTAACTCCTAAATGACAGAGAATTGAGCAGTGAAATTGCAGGGGAATGATCTATACACTAAAACTGCTTTATTTAGCTAAAGTAATTTAGGTGACTATAGTGTTCCTTTAACATATTATGAATATTAGAATTTAAACTATTATGTCATAAAGCCTCGATATCAATCCCGTTTTGACTAAGACACAGTCTCCTCTTTTTACATTTACTGCCCTCTTATAATATGGCCGAGATCCTCTTTCAATCATACGAGGAGAACACTATGACGTAATTTCCGCCGGACGTCAAGCACATATGGAAGATTGAAGTAAGACTCTATAATGGACTAACTACTAGCAATTGCATCATAGAGCCTTATTAACATATGTTCCATTCCACTCCTTATTTATAATTGTCGGCACGAGCCGATCCGAACGCAGCTGCGCCATTTTGGCTCCGTGTGCGTTCCAACGTTGGAACACAAATACTACCACTCATAAAAACGCTGCATCACTTCTGGTGTGACGCGTGCGTTCCAGAGTGGATACAGAAAATGAGACACACCAGGAAGTAATCAATGCTGAAACAAACAGCATATATAAACGAACATTATGAGGACTTACTCCACACTTCTGAAGAAGCCTCTACAGGTGAGATGCGTAAAGTGGGACCCTCTGAAGACTTTAAAATTGTTTTATTATTTTGTTTAATAAATGGTTAAATTTTTATATCCATTTTTAAACTTTTTTCTTCATTTACTACCTGGCATCATCCTATTCCCAGGTGGGGATTATACCACCTATGTTGTATACACTAGAGCAAGTTCTGCTTCAGTAAATGTGAGTACCTGACTTTATTATTGTTTGAGCACTTCTAAGTACTTGCTTCACTTTTGGAATATCCTTTTGTTTTTTTTATATATGATCTGCATATTGCACTCTACTGGAAACACAAGAGTGGACTAGAGCTTCATATATCCTTAGATGGGGATTGTTCCGTCCACGCGCATTACAGCAGAGCTCTGAGATAGCTCTAGTCAATGTGAGTGATACTATATCAGATTACTTTAAAACTCACCCACTGGACATATCATATTGCACTACTATTTCTCTTTGTTCCTTTTGTTTTTGAGGTCTACTGTATATACTATTTTGAATACGATCTATGTACGTATATATTTTTATACTTTACTATTTGGGGCGTGGATTCCTTGCACCCATTTCTATATACTATACATTTAAAAGGTTTGGGAATTCTTGTATAGGTTACTGCTGCCCATTACTATTATATGCTATAGTGTGCGCCTTAAACTTACCCCATTTTCTCACAATAGCCAAGTTGTAGTTAAGTCATAATATATAAACTGTATTAAAATATACACTGGACAAAATTATAAACGCAACACTTTTGTTTTTGCCCCCAATTTTAATGCTGTCTAATCAGCATTTTGATATGCCACACCTGTGAGGTGGATGGATTATTTTAGCAAAGGAGAAGTGCTCATTAACACAGATTTAGACAGATTTGTGAACAATATTTTAATGTGGAATAGGCCTTTTGTGTACATAGAAAAAGTCTTAGATTTTTGATTTCAGCTCATGAAAAATGGGGGCAAAAACAAAAGTGTTGCGTTTATAATTTTGTTCAATGCATTATCAAAAATAAAGATTTAAGAATTTAATAAAAAATTATTGCCAAGGCTTATATGTATTTTTACTTACCATCATTCACCAAATGAAAAATAATTTATTTTGTCTAAGACATTCCACCTATAGTGCTTATATAACATATTTTAATAATGCTTTACAGTCAAAACCCATACCATGCAGGCTTGTTCTTTTTAAAGAACACCAATGTTCTATAGTAGGTGACATTAATTTGCATATATATGTTTTAAACTTAATTGCACGTGATTCCCCAAGTAAAGTGACTTATGTGAGCTAAAAAAGAACTGCAAAAATCATTTTTAATACAATTTTTTGTTAAAGATGAAATATGAAGGGTATACAGTTTATGAAAAAATATTTTAAAAAATCCTAAAAATAAAAAATATTACATTTTTAAAAAGTCCATTTTTTTAAATAAAAATAATGACACAGCTCAAAGTCATCATTCAGGACATATAGTTACAGTGTATTGAAATTAAAGATGCATTGCATTTCTGTTTGTCCAATTTTTTTTTTAATTAAATCTCTGCCTCTCCAGTCCATTCTTATTTTCTTGATACCAAAAAGTTGTAAATAATGCGGATTACTGTTGTGTTTTTCTTTAAAGTGCAATGATACACTGTGTTTCTTAAACCTATTATCTATGTTTCTTATATGTCCATGTATCCTTATGTAGAGGACCCTGGTTGTCCTTCCCAAATACGCTAAACCACATACCCATAAAATTAGATAAACAACTCTTGTAGTATGTCTCGTTATATCTTATTTAATTTAAAAAGTTTGTTTCGTGTCTTGGGGACGGATGAAGAATTGTATCAATCTTCTTTTACTATATGTGTTTTTGCAAGCTCCACATATATCGCAACCATAAAAGCTTTTGGACTCTTTGGTTATTAACTCTTTTTGGGGAATCTAATTTTGTACCAAGCTGCTCCTTAGACTTTGGGGACCCCTATATGTAATTGCTGCTTTAATTGGGAGATTCATTTGATAGCTTTTAGATATAAAACTTTGTTGGCTGTCTTGTATAGCGTTGGTCTTTTCTTTATATTCTTCCAAATAATTTCTGTCTTTCTTGTAAACTTTATGATAGGCATCTTTTAATACATTTTCATGATATAATTTGTCTTTAAAATTATTTAAAATATTTGTCTGTTCATGGAACTTTTTTCCATCAGTGCATTTTAAAAGTTGGGCCTTTGGAGCATTAATTAACCGTGGGGAGAAGGACCACTGTCTTTTCTGATCATTCATATAACCCAAGCTTTGCAATTTAAGTGAGTTAAGAGAATGGTGAATGAAGATTCATCAACCTTTCATAAAAACATTTTGTCACTGTAACATTTTGTGTTTAAATATTTTTCCTATTAATCACATAAGTTGGTTAGGAAAATCTATCTGATAGACCCTGACAGCTCCCTTTGGTACCCCCATATTTTTTTAGAATAAAGGAAGCCCTTTAGAAGTTAGCTCTCTAAGGAATCCTTAAATATTAGTGAATAAATATTATCTTACATAAAATAAGGTGGTGTATCTTAAATCGCTCCCTGTCCTAAATTTTGTAGTGCTATCCTTAAAAAATCCCCACATTAGGTACTAGGGTATGGAGCCACTGCACCAAATTAGGGCTCTATATATCTCTCTCTACTATACAGTGACACACAACTGACTGGAATTGTGGAATTAAGAAAAGTTCTGCTTTTCTTAATTTTGATAATTCTGCTGAAAGACTGAAATTAATAAAAATGCCTTTATCTTAATGTTGCTCTTTCAGCTATTTAGAAGATAGCTTAATAGTTACATAGTTACATAGCTGAAAAGAGACTTGCGTCCATCAAGTTCAGCCTTCCTCACAAATTAAATTAATAATTTAATAGTATCCTTAGATATTGGCGATTGGAAATCCCAGATAAGGGTGCCAAATTAAAGAAGTATATATCTTTGTGGTTCCTTTCAAATTGTCAATCTCAATGCGCAGAGAAGCCAGGGGTACACTATCATTCTACTAAATTAGGGAGCGATCAACAAAACAAAACTGGATGAAATTAAAATAGTAAATAAGAAAAAAAGCTGAACAGATGAAAGGTCAAAATTAAGAAAATTGCTCCTTAATACATTTTTTTTAACCTTGTAAACTTTATGGTAACTTAAATTTAAGGGAATAGGATAACATCCATATAATAAAATCTCTATTATTTTCTTATCTTAAAATATTATAATAAACTGACAATAGTGTAAAAAGAATAAGAGGAAGAATACATGAAGAATTGAGAGATTTATATTTTCTTTGCCTGTGTTTGTGGAATTTTATTGGTCCAAATGGAATTTCCAAAATGAATGAACTAATGGCCGAAATTTGTTTCAGAATAAATTTTACTAAATGTTTTTGTACCCAAGCACCCAAGTCTACTCACTGTTAGACATAATGTTCTTTTTTTTGCTATACTGTATATGTTTTATGCATTGACATATTTTGACTCAATGCTACATTCAGTTCTACAAAGTTCATGAACACCCCCATCTGCTTAATAACTATTTATTAAGTTCAGCCCATACATTTACAAAGAAATAATGGACACATTTATCTAGGCATGACAAAGCTTTTATTTACACAGAGCTAAACAATACTTTAGAACAGACCAGTTCCACAAAGTAGGTATTCTCCTATTAGCACTGAAATGGTTTATGGCTTCAATAACAACCAATTGATTTCAGTATCATATCACTGTACCTGCATCCTGATCTTAGCATCATTTCTTTAATTGCCATATACTTATACTGACTAGCCTGCATAGTGAGAGTGACATTTACTTGGGGTAATATTTTGACGCTGTCATGTTTAAGCATATCAGCAGACCATTTAAATGCAGTATGTCTTGTTAATATTTCCAGTCCAATTAGGGAACATTTCACATAGCTTCATCACAACAATGCTGGATCTCTAATAGACATCTGGTGCAGAGAACAGGGAAGGCTCTTCCACAAGTCTTCAAAATGAAAACACAATTATATATAGGTGATACATTTTGCACCATTTATTTATTCATTAAGTTTATCATTGATTACCTAATAGTAAAGATTAATTGATAAATAAAGGAAATTTATTTCTCCTTGTATCTATGAAAATGGTGCTGTTCATACACTTAACCCCTATATTATAATGACAACAGATATGTCTGGTCAATTTTTTATATTCTTCTTTCTTTTATGTGTACAATATTATTATGAGCCGATATGGCTCGAATGTGGACTTTGAGATAAGGAGTCTTTTTCCCTGTGGGGCTTAAGACGCGGACCGGAAGTTGCGCACGAAAGGATGATGGACCTTGTAGTGCCGAAAAAAACGGAAGTGAACGGAAGTGACGCGACGGCAAGTTAAGCGCGTCACGAACGACGTAGGATTACGACGACTTCGGCGGGAATATGAACTTATTTAAACACAGAGGCAATAGAAGACCTGGAAAGCTGACTGAGGAAGCCGAGGAAATCGGCGAAACGCGTTTTGGCTTAAAGTGGACTTAATATTTTTTGCACCACCCATATTCTATTATTCTGTTTTTTAAAGAACCTTTTTATTTGATATTTTCTATAAATGTATTTTTAAAGTAATCTCTCTCCATATATATATATATATATATATATATATTTTTATACATTGAATAATAATAAACATCCCCTTTTTTTCACATCATTCACTGGATCCTGCAAATAATTCCAGGGAAGGGGCAGTGTCACCCCATAAATTGAAAAAAAGTGCTGTGGAGAGGAACACACCTTTACCTGGAGAGAGGGGTCGTGTGATCTACCCAAAAAGACACAAGACGCTTGGAAGTTTAGAGCCTATAAACTAGAAAAGGCTCTAAAAAATGTGAGTTTAGACACATCTGTCACTTACATATTGCTTTACCTCAATTTATAACATATTGCACTATTATCTGTATATTTGTATTTTTCTTTCTTTTTATGTATATACCATCTTGAGATCATTGTAGAGGGTAAGTGTTTTTTGAATTATTGAAAAACACATTTTCACCTCACATTATAATATAGCGCTGCACTCTTTAAAAACTGAGGATCTAATAGGTGGAAACACCAGTAAGGTCTCAAGTTTTTTTCTGTGTTCTTTGGTGTTTATGTATGGTGGGTTTTGAGGAGTACCCACAGAGTGTATATAGCAGCTAATACTCACTAATCTATATCACGTATTATACAGCGCCACCTATTCCACACCTTTTTGTATAGATAAATTTTGCAGTCCTAAGAAATCCTCTGCACACAGTCGTGTTACTTTACTGAGTTAACAAACACATCATACATTATTATTATTGTATGTTCAGGAACATTATTTTGAAACTGCAAATATTATAATTTAACCACAGGTCTATAGTTATAGCGTAGTGAATATCTTGTTTAGTAAATCATTTATAACTATGTATATAAATGCTGTATAGTTAGACATTCCAACATGTACATTCATGGGCATTATACAACACCCATCTATAAGTATAAGCACAGAAAACTAATGATATTTAAAAAATATTCACTACACAAACAACATAAATATATTCAATGAGTGAGGTCAAAGTTCACTGGGTACATCGTAACAAAAAGGTGTTGCATAGTCCTTCCCAAAGCTGCTTTAAGTTCCTTGTTCCTCACACTATAGATCAGAGGATTTAGCAAAGGGTTAATTACAGCATACATTATAGACACAATATTGTATAACGTTAACAGAGAATGTGTGTTAGGTACAAAGTAGATGAAAATGAGAGAAGCATAGAATATAAAGACCACAGTAAGATGAGACGTGCAGGTGGAAAAAGCTTTAAGCTTTCCATCTTTAGTCTGTATTCTGATGATAGTGCTGAAAATACGGGTATATGGAATGAAAGTCATGAGAAAGGCCACTAGTCCCACGGATCCTCCTAAAGTAAGGGTGATAACTATGTTGATGAAAATGTCAGTACATGAAATTTGAAATAGGTGAGGAAGGTCACAAAAGAAATTGTGGATAATGTTTGAGCTGCAGAATGTCAGTCTCAGTGAACAAAGTGTATGTACCATGGAGTACAATAAGCCCAAAACCCAAACCATGGATGAAAGCAGGAAACATACATTCCAGGACATAATCTGAATATAATGCAGAGGGTGACAGATTGCAGAAAATCTGTCATAGGACATGACACCCAGCAGAAAAAGCTCTATAGATGCAAAATAGGTAAGAAAAAATATTTGCATCATGCAAGCAGGAAAGGATATCAAGTTATTTGTGGTGATGAAGTCAGAGAGCATCCTTGGTGCTGTGACTGATGATAAGGACATGTCCAAAAATGCCAGGTTTCCAAGAAAGAAGTACATGGGGGTGTGGAGCTGGGCATCAATGATAAACAAGAGGATGATTAGGGAGTTTATTATAAGAGTATGCGTATAGATCAGAAGAAAAACAACAAATAACACATACCGTATATGTGGATCATCTGACAGCGGAGTTAAAAGAAAAACAGTAACTTCTGATGTGTTTCCCATTACTTTTACCAAACGTTCGTATTATAAATGAAGAAGGACATACATTAGGAATGAACAGTCTGACAGTGGGACAAACTAAGAAGCGACACAGAGTTCGGCACTGAAAATCCTGATCCTAAAGACATAAAGTATTACTATCATCTCATATAAATATACAATACATTTCCTTAGTGACAACATACACAAAGGTCTCTCACGTGCACCAGTGTATTCTCTGCAAATCCCAACTAGTAGGTCTCAGGGCATTAATTGCAATGTGAATCATATTTTAAGAATGAAAAACTCTTGATAACAAACTCCTAAACACTCCTAAACGAAATAGCAAAGGGAAGTTTTATTTTAGACACTAAAGAGTTTGGCACCAGGCGAGAACTAATGGATCAATCTAGAAGTCTAGCCAAATTCAGATGAGAACAAAAAAAACAACATCCACTATGTTGAATGAATGCATCTCTATGGGAAACGTTTAAACTCACTGTACACTGCACACTGTAACAGCACTGACACTGACTGATACTGATGCAAGGAACACTTCTAGTGGCTAAGTGACCATCACTAGAGGTGTTTCCTAAGCAGCATTTGCATTTTCTCTTCAGCTTTTACAGTTCTTAGCATGCAAAAACATGTTATTGACACCAGAACCATTATGCTAAGCTGTAGGGGTTCTGGTGACTTTAGTGTCCCTTAATAGACACTGTATGCACCGTAACTGCTTCATCTTATCGAAGTGATTATAGTGCCTGGAATCCTCTAGTGTGATTCCTCATTGTGATAGTTTATTGGTAAACGAGAGTTCACAGAAGACCATCACCTCGGTGCTGCTCAGACAATTAATTTAGCATTAACCTGAGCAGCAAAGGGTAGCAGTGATTGACCAAACGTGTCAGCTGGCCGCTTTTAGTCTGTTGCAGCTTTCCATTGAAGGTGCCAATTGGTATGAATTAATAAGTGTGTAATTTCTATCTTGGCTATACCTGTAGTGGGCCAGGGCTTCTAATTCTATATTAAACTACTCAGAAATGGTTTAACATTGAATAGAGCGACACTGCCAGAGGACACCAGGTACTATTACAGTTCAATTACAGTTGTGCTTAAAAGTTTGCATACCCTTGGATAATTGGTAATATATGTACCATTTTTAAAGAAAACATGAGTGAGCAGGCAAAACACATTTCTTTTATTTCTAATGGGATTCATGTATGCACGTAGTGGGCATTGGATAGCATTCCCTTCATCCCCCATAAAACCATAACTTACCCCTTCAAATAACGACAGACAACTTCTTGGAGAAAAAAACAGGCCACCGCATTTATTAACACAACCAAATACTGTATGACTCCTTTAACATATAACGAAATAATAAATATCATAAATTAACATAAACAATTTGCATATAGTCATACAGTAACCAAAGAAACTGTCCTTGCCAATCTAACTTCCCCAAGGCTCTCACCTCCCCCCTCGGCATAATAAAAACATCTTCCTTTTCAGGGCTCCCCACCAACTCGGTGGGGCCCAACCATAATGCTCCCCACTGGTCGACTTACAACCCAGTGGGGACACGTCCAACCTGGTACTTTCTCCAGGTTCACCATAAGAGACAGGGGAGGATGAGACCCGGCTATTATGCCCCTTTTTCATCTAATCTACCAAACCATCCCTTATTTGGCAAGGACACACCCCGCCACAACCCCGCTGTTTTAAGCCTAAAATCAGGGGGTGACCCCAAACAAACCAACCATGGCCTGTTCCACCATCTCTAGAATGGCCAGATTAAACGGTTGAGCCCGACCTCAGTCAAATGAACCCCATCCGGCCGCAACAAATCTGACGCCTCCTTCTCAAAACCTGATGAAATAGGCATCCCCCAAACCCCTAAAATGAACGGTGCGCTCCAACGCACTCCAGATGTGTGCCTACCGCCAATAGTTCCTCGCCACAACCTCCGACCACACCATGCAAAAACCCCCGGAAATGACATAAGGATCTGGGACAAGTCCCGCTTCCCTATGTCCACCAAGTCACCGAGCGGCACCGTCCCCTGGGGGAATGACCAGAACCAACGACACCCCCCTGCAAGCGAGAGAACCTGACCACTTCTGGGAGGAGCCAGACCCACTTCACGTCCCCCCGGCGCCGAACCACCACACCTCCACTGTCGAGTGCTCAATCATCCGCCCTGAGAAGAAAAAAACAAACAATCAATGGAGCAAACCAGCGTCCTGCACACCGGAACAAATCTCCTAGTCCCGAGTCCCACCTTCTTATCCTACGCACATCCCGAGTCAGCATACCCAGCTGAGAGGCCTCCGTCGCAGCGCCAATGCGGAAAGAATGACCGCCAAACAAATTGAAAATGGGAGAGGAAGTTCCCCTCCTCGTGTACCATGATCGGGCCAGCCAGGTACGGCCGTACTGCGGACTCCCTGAGCACCTAGACCAGACAGGCGTCCAATCCTGGGACCACTGCTTGCAAAGGATGTCGGTCTTGTATGGACGAGTCTTGATGGACACCGGGTCCTGACCATCCCGGACATCCGCAAACAGAATCGTCCCCTACCAGCTGACCAGTTCGGACCCACCAATACCCCAATCCTCATGGCCCCAAAGAAATGAAGAAACGGTGAGGAATACCTCTGGGAGCAGCTGGCACAATTGTGCCCATAGGGCCCCCAAAACCGTCCTCTTTGGATCCACAGAAATCGACCCCTGCACGGGCCCTACACCGCATGCCATACCAGCAACTCTGTGGTGACTGCCACCCAACCCTGGGACTTAACCAGAAAACTAAACTGGACACGCGCAAGGACACCCCGGAGGGGGACACATCCACTGAAACCCAACGCTCCAGCAGTCACAACAGACCTTGAAACGAGCAGGCGAACCCGCAAATACAAAGAAAAAAATACCAAAGGTGCTGTGTTAGTATCAGGCGCTAAAAAGTAATTTGTATCAAAAGTTGGAAAGCTGCTCAACACTCGTGTTAATACCTCTTACTCAACACAAACATGCAAACCCAATAGTGAAAGACTGGTTGAGTGGCGAAAAAAAAATCACCACATCAACCAGAAACAGTGGAGCGCTAAATACATACACTTACCCTTAAATAAGGGAATATGAGTGAAACAAAGTATCTAAAAAGAACATAAACAAAATATAGTGCAATATGGCTAGCACAAGTCGAATGTGATAATTTTCGTATGTTACACACTCACATGGTATAAAGCCTGATAGAGGATAGGCTCAAATCTCATGCGTAGAGGTATTTTAAGAGAATACCAAAACTTCTTCAATGTAGGGGCATCAAATGCTCAGAGAGAATGAGAGAAATAAAGCAGGATATAGTGCATTATCTTCACTAAAACCACAAAATAAAATGAGGTAGTCACTGCTCACCTTGTTGAGAGCCAAAGTACTGGGCTCTCAGAATAATGTGCACTGTGCCTTTAAGAGGGCACTATTCTTCTTTATAACCAAGGACACTGGCAGAATGTAGGACTTGAAATAAATTTATTGACAAAAAAATGTAAAATAATTTAAAAACAAGTAAAAGCAACAAAATAAATGTGCCACAAATATAAGTCCAAACTATAAAATAGCTGTCCAAAAACAGTCCGAGACGCGTTTCGCCTGAATCCGCAGGCTTTTTCAATTGGTGTCTTCTGTGCGCTTAATGTCAGATTTTATACTTGGCGGTTCTTCCGGGATTTGTCTCCCCTGTATATCCCTTATCCAATCCAAAAGCCGATCCACGGAGGTGTGGGCTGTGTCAGCTGTCCGCAATGATTTTCGTATAACCGGAAGTGACGTATCGGAGAACCTCAAACGTCACTTCCGGTATTCCGAAAACGCCATATTGCAAACTGGCGTAAGGACAACTGTTCTTTATAACTCCAGGCAATAAGTCGTAACATTCATAGTGATAAAAAGGAAAACAGAAACATACCATTATGATATAAAACGGAAGAATTACTATAAAAGAAGCATTTTTCTACAACATTAATGTCCATTCACTGAATTAAAAAAAATAAATATATATATATGTATAAAAAGAGTAATCAACGTATAATATTAAGGTGCAAGTGAAATCATCAAGCTTTCCAAAAGGATCACATGACAGTATCATCTACATGAGCGATATATAAATAGAAAAATCTATATACATATATATAAATGAAAAATTGTATATATATTGATAAAACTTCTTTGTTTACCTTCCTTGCTTCAAAGAATTATTTTTTTTTATTAAGTTTTTAAAAAATATATTTTAAAAAAATGTATTGATTAAATATTTTTCATAAAAAGTGACAAGGTTCAGAATCGTTATTTAGACCCCTTGGGTGTAGGGTATCTAAGTTGAATATCCATCGCATCTCTGCTTCTCGATAGATGTTTGCAACCTATTGTTCAAAAATGTCCCAGTTATCTTAAAGATACGATGAACATTTTACAAATTCTGGGACAAACTACATGGGATACTGACCTTTTTTTGGTTACGGCGGATGTGAATTCACTCTACACGATTATTGAACACACTAAGGGTTGTGAGGCTACTAAACATTTTCTTGAGAATTCAGGAGAATTCCCTGAGTCACAAATAGGTTTTATACTGGAGGGGATCAATTGGATCCTTAACAACAACTATTTTTGGTTTAATGGTAATTTTTATTTGCACGTCTGTGGGACGGCGATGGGCACGAGGTTTGTGCCTAGCTACGCAAATTTATTTATGTCCTTTTGGGAACATGAGTTTGTTTTTCAGATAGTAGATGGGGCGCAAACCTGGTGACCTATCGCCGTTACATTGACGATATTTTTTTCATTTGGAAGGGGAATAGTGAGTCTCTGGACTACTTTTTTGAACACTTGGAAAATAATGACTGGGGCATCAAACTCACTAAAAAATATAGTAAGGATTCAGTTGAATTCTTAGATCTGATTATATATGTTGAGAACAATACCATCAAG